CCCAGACCCCATTTTTGGGTAATTTTGGGGTCTCCTGACCGCCCGGCCCCCATTTTTGGATAATTTTGGGGTCTCCTGACCGCCCAGACCCCATTTTTGGGTAATTTTGGGGTCTCCTGACCTCCCGGCCCCCCCAGGCCAACAGGTGGCCATCAAGAAGATCCCGAACGCCTTCGACGTGGTGACCAACGCCAAGCGGACGCTGCGGGAGCTGAAGATCCTCAAGCACTTCAAGCACGACAACATCATCGGCATCAAGGACATCCTGCGGCCCACGGGGCCCTACGGCGAGTTCCGCTCCGTGTGCGTCCCCCGGGGGGGCTGGGGGGGGTCCAGGGGGGCTGGAGGGCACGTGGGATGGACCCCAACCGGTCAACTGGGGGCGTCGGTGTGGGCACGGTCAGTGAGGGCAATGGCGATGGTCAGTGGTCAATGAGGTCAACGGTCAAGGTCAATGGTCGAGGTCAGTGGTCAATGGTCAATGTTTGTGGTCATTGTGGTCAATGGTCGATGTGGGCAAGGTCAATGAGGTCAATGCCAATGGTCAGTGGTCAATAGTCAATGGCCAAGGTCAACACAGGCAATGTCGATGGTCAAGGTCAACGGTGAACATCAACATGGCCAATGTCAATGGTCAAGGTCAATGGTGAACATCAACATGGCCAATGTCAATGGTCAAGGTCAGTGGTCAAGGTCAATGGTGAACATCAACACGGCCAACGTCAACGGTCAAGGTCAGCGGTGAACGCAGCCAATGTCACCATGGCCAATAGTTGACATCAGCAAGGTCAAGGTCAACTTGGCCAATGTCAACGTTCAAGGTCAACGTGGCCGAGGTCAACGCGGTCAAGGCCATCTCAACTCAACCCAACTCAACCGCCCCGTTCCCCCCCAGGTACGTGGTGCTGGACCTGATGGAGAGCGACCTGCACCAGATCATCCACTCGTCGCAGCCGCTGACGCTGGAGCACGTCCGGTACTTCCTGTACCAGCTGCTGCGCGGCCTCAAGTACATCCACTCGGCCAACGTCCTGCACCGCGACCTCAAGCCCTCCAACCTGCTGGTCAACGAGAACTGCGAGCTCAAGATCGGCGACTTCGGGATGGCGCGGGGGCTGGGCGCCGACCCCCGCCAGGCCAAGGCCTTCCTCACCGAGTACGTGGCCACGCGCTGGTACCGCGCGCCCGAGCTGCTGCTGTCGCTGCACCGCTACACGCGCGCCATCGACATGTGGTCGGTGGGCTGCATCTTCGCCGAGATGCTGGGCCGGCGCCAGCTCTTCCCGGGCCGCAACTACGTGCACCAGCTGCAGCTGATCATGGCGGTGCTGGGCACCCCCCCCGCCGGCGTCATGGCGGCCATCGGCGCCGAGCGCGTCCGCGCCTACGTCCAGAGCCTCCCGCCGCGCCCGCCCGTGCCCTGGGAGAGCCTGTTCGGCGCGGCCGAGCCGGCGGCGCTGGCGCTGCTGGGCCGGATGCTGCGCTTCGACCCCCGCGAGAGGGTGGGCGTGGCCGAGGCGCTGCGCCACCCCTTCCTCGCCAAGTACCACGACCCCGAGGACGAGCCCGAGTGCGTCCCCGCCTTCGACTTCGCCTTCGACCGCCAGGCGCTCACCAAGGAGGAGATCAAGGCGGCCATCGTGGCCGAGATCGCCGACTTCCACGCCCGGCGCGACGGCATCCGCCGGCAGATCGCCCTCGCGCCCTCCGGCGGGGCCGGGGGCGGGGTCCCCGGGGGCGGGGGCGGCCTGGCCAACGGGGGGGTCAACGTGGCCAATGTGGGCAGTGTCAGCATGGCCAACGCCAACATCAACGTGGCCAGCGTCAACATGGGCAACGCTGGCATCACTGTGGCCAACACCAACACCAACGTGACCAACATTAACGTCAACGTGGCCAACGTCAACATGGCCAACGCCAAC